GGGAGGGGCTCTGCTGCAAGGACCCCTTTTTATCCTCTCGGCGTCCCCTGGCACTGGTGCCAAAGTGGGGATTATGGTGTCCAGGGGCTCAAGGCTTGCAGGGATGCTCCTGCCCTGCCCAGGAGCTCACAATGGGGAGATCCTCACTTGGGGGCTCTCCTGGGCACCCTCATGCCAGGGCAGGAGGTGGGCAGGAGGACTTTGGGTCACCTGTGTGACACCAGTGAAATTTAGAATAAAACTAAAAATAAAATTTGGAATTTTTAATCAATTGGAGCCTTTTGCATGGCTGGGATTGAGGGGGGACTGGGAGAGGGGAGGGGAAGTTCCAGTCTCAATGGGGAGCATTGAAATAGGGGGAATGTCGCAGTCCCAACTGGGAGCACTGGCATTGGGGTGGATGGGGTCCCAGACCCAACTGGGAGCACTGACATTGGAGTCGATGGGGTCCCAGACCCAACTGGGAGCACTGGCATTGGGGTGGATGGGGTCCCACATCCAATTGGGAGCACTGGCATTGGGGTGGATGGGGTCCCAGACCCAACTGGGGTCACTGGGATTGGAGTCGATGGGGTCCCAGACCCAACTGGGAACGCTGGCATTGGGGTGGATGGGATCCCAGACCCAACTGGGAGCACTGGCATTGGGGTGGATGAGGTCCCAGACCCAACTGGGGTCACTGGAATTGGAGTCGATGGGGTCCCAGATCCAACTGGGAGCACTGGGATTGGAGTCGATGGGATCCCAGATCCAACTGGGAGCACTGGGAGTGGGGTCAGGCAGGAGCCTGGCTGTGTGTGGGTGTTGTGTCCCCCAATGAGGTGTCTGTTCTGGGCGGTGGTTCTGGGCCGCCAGAGGGCTGAACCTGGCCACTCCTGCACGTCTGCCTGTTCCCTGCATCCTTCCTGCTCCTCACCTGTTCCCTGCCTGCACCTACCTGCATCCTGCTCCTCACCTGCTCCCTGCTTCCTCCCTCCTCCCTGTCTCTTTCCTACCTGCTCCCTGCTCCACACCTGCACCTCTGCCTGTTCCCTGCACCCTTCCTGCTTCCCACCTGCACCCTGCCTCCTCCCTACCTGCTCCCCACCTTTCTTATCTCCTCTCTACCTGCATCGTTCTCCCTGCTTCCTCCCTGCTCCCCGCCTGCCTCCTCCCTGCACCCTAGCTTCATCCATCCTGCTCCTCACCTGCTCTGTCCCTGCTCCCTGCCTGTTCCTCTGCCCCCCTGCACCCCANTGTGGGCAGGTGCAGGCCACAGTGCAGGGAGGTGCAGGTAGGTGTAGGCAGGATTGTGGGCAGGTATAGGCAGCAGTGCAGGGAGATGCGAGTAGGTGTGGACAGGTTCAGACAGGTGTGGGCAGATACAGACAGGTGCAGACATGTCTGGGCAGGTACAGGCAGCAGTGCAGGGAGGTACAGGTAGGTGTGGACAGGTGCAAGCAGGAGTGTCGGCAGGTACAGACAGGTGCAGGCAGGGGTGCTGGCAGGTGCAGACAGGTGTAAGCAATTGTAGGTAGGGGTGTGAGCAGGCAGGTGTAGGCAGGGGCATGAGCAGAGGGAAGCAGGTGCAGGCAGCAGTGCAGGGAGGTACAGGTAGGTGCAGGCAGGGGTGTGGGCAGGTGCAGGCAGCAGTGCAGGCAGCAATGCAGGGAGGTGTGGGTAGGTACAGGCAAGTGTGGGCCGATGCAGGCCACAGAGCAGGGAGGTGCGGGTAGGTGCAGGCAGGTACAGGTGCAGGTGGGGTTGTGGGCAGGTGCAGGCAGCAGTTCAAGGAGGTGCAAGCAGGTACAGACAGGTGCAGGCAGCTGTGGGCAGTACAGGCAGGTGCAGACCAGTGTGGGCAGGTGCAGGCAGCAATGTGGCCAGGTGCAGGCAGCAGAGCAGGGAGGTACAGGTAGGTACAGGCAGGTATAGACAGGTGCAGGCAGCAGTGCAGGCAGGTGTGGGCAGGGGTCTCTGCTGCACCCCCACCTCCCCGTGCTCACAGCACACCCTGCTACCAGGGGCTGCCAGCCCCGTGGTGCTGCCCACGCTGCCTGCAGGTGAGTGGGGAGCTGGGCAGGTGCTGGTGCCCAGGTGCTGACCCTTTGCCCATCTGCTGACAGGTGAGCGGGGAACTGGGCCGGTGCCAGGCTGTGGCGGATTTCCTGCAGAGCCTGCTGGACTCTGTGGCCTCACACCCCACCACCCTGCACTTCCCCGGCGTTGCCCGCTTCCTGCGGGACCCGGCTGGGCAGAGCCTGCTGCAGCAGCTGGAGAGCCGCTTCCAGTGCGCCATCCAGCTGGACGGTGAACCCTGGAGCCCTCCAGATCCCCAGGTGCAGCCTCGTGGGGAGGGAGGGGTCTGGCAAGCGGGTGCCATTGTGCTGGTCCCTGCCGTGCCACAGCAGCGTTGGTGATGCCACCCTTGATCCCCACAGCTGCAGCTGGAGGAGCTGCTGCCCCCAAGCAGGGAGCCCCGGCCACGCTCCTGGCACCAAGACCTGCCTGAGGGCCACAATGCCAATGCCGCTGCTGATGGTGATGGTGATGGGGGTGACCACGGCTTCCATTCCAGCGCAGGTGAGGGGCGAGGGTGACACTTTGGTGCCCGCTCTGTGGGTGCTGCGGTGGGATGAGGAGGCCACAGGTGCTGGTCCTCCCCAGGACGTGGTGGTGGGGCCTCATGGCTGACACCCCGCTGCTCCCACAGAGGAGATCAAGGAGTTGCTGGCAGCACTGC